GCAAACATTGACAAGGTTGGAAAGTTGGTCGCATACCATCGCCGCGCCGCTTTTCGAGGTTTGATTTCATCCGAAGATAAGAGGAAATTGGAAATTCCGTTCTGTCGCGTTTCGGTTTCATCGGCGTATCTGCCGGATGAAAGGCATACCAGCCAAACGTCGAGTTTCATTTCACATTGACGAATAAGCGACGACGCGTTCCTTTGTTATTATCGTGGGTCCGATAAAGCAAGTAAATTAATTCAATAACATTTTCACCCTTGATCAAGGGGCGGAAAATATATTTTGGAGAATATTAAACGCTCGAAAATTATATCGATTATTGGATTATATCGACGAAGATTAATAAATTCGTTTATGGACAGATTCGATGTCTTGTAATTTTCGAAAGCGGCGAATCGTGATTAAAACGATATTTCTTTCGTGGAGATGAAACCATGGTAATACCTTCGAACGTATATCATCACGGATTATCATAGAAATAGTTCAAGGTCCATTATCTTTCTCGATGAATAAAGAATCCATTAAAAATTGTCGCACGCAATATCGCAAAACAAACAGGAAAAAAGAAAGAAAAACATTTGATCAGAAATAAAACTCGATATTTTCCGATTTTTCAAAAAGAAAAAAAAAAGAAAAAAATAAAGCGACCATTCACGTCCACTTTTATGCTTTTTAAAACTTGCAGCCATTCACTTTTGTTTATACCACTCGAACATGTTCCATCTTTAATTCTACTTCTGTTTCAGCTTGCTAGATGAGAATCATAAGCTAGGGACCCAGGAGCAACTTTGAAAGTTCACGATTCATTAAAACGTCCCATAACTTATTACACGTTAACAGTTCCTAAATTACGACTTTCGTCTCAAAGCGTTTAATAATCCTAAAATGAAGCGCCTCAGCCTCGATCGTAAAATTAGCCGCTTATCACTTAACCCCCCATCGTCGATCTTGACGACTTTCCACCCGATCATGATGAAGTTACCGGCACGAAAGGGAAAACTCCTAGGCCTAGTACGGGATAAAATCCTCTCCTGCGCCTTTTTCGCGTGGATCTCGAGTCAAAGAGAATTGGATCGGAGCTCAAATTGATTCAATCAGGAGGACGATTTATATTTACCACGTAATATGCTTGTGTTTTGGATACAAAGCGCGAAACTTATTTTTTATCTTCTGCCAAAAATTAATCATCTTCGATCCAAAGGGAATTATTGGAAATTCAATTCAAGGAGAGGGGAGCGGAGGAAAGCGGAGGAAAGCGGAGGAAAGCGAAGGAAGACAACTCGAGTCCCGAATAGGGATGAATTATTCACGCTACCTATTGGGTTCATGGACCCAATAGACAGATTTCTAAGTTATTTTAAGAGTGATGCGATTCTTCGCGAAGCGAAAACGATATCGAGGAATTTCTCGATATTTCAGTTACAGTTCGAACTGAGAACGATCGAGAAGCGGGCGCGTTCGAAATTTTATTTCATCGCAATTCCAAACGATCGTTCTCTCGCTATTGCCAAGCTTTTTTTTTTGATTTGCGATAAGCTGCACCATCCTGTTTTTTTCAGGATGCGAATATTTTTTATGGATTTGAAAAAGATCATTTGGAGAGAGGACAGGTTTGAACGATATTTTCTAGGAAATAATTAGCGTGCCAGGCTACATCTCTTTTAAATTCGTGAAGATTATTGTGCACTCCTCTTTCCAAAACTTTGTCTTAAATCTAACGAGAAATATTTGTTGCAATGACAAAATCAATTACAAATGAAAATCAATCAAAATGAATTATTCTATTAATTTCCAGAAAAATAAACAATTGAAATAAGCAATTGGCAATAATAAAGACTCATAAATTTCGCAATTAAACCTTCTATCGCGATCAACCTCGACGAAGCCAATCATGCATACGATTTAATTGAAATTTCATTATAACTAATCATTTATCAGAGGATGTTTGAAATCTCGCGTTCAATCACGTGTTCGAAACGAGATTTCTCACCTTCTCGATTAATCAATTCGTTTAACAGAAAATTTTGTTAAAAATTTCTCGTGTCTCCCGGAGAAATTGATTATATCGCGATACATATCGGCAAACGAATCTCGTTTATTTATCGTCCATCAGTTTGAAACATTCATCAACGCGCATCTACCGATCCTATCGAACCGGAAGAACCCTCTTCTAAACCGTAAATCATCGCCTCGTGTCTTCGAGTGATACACGTACGCGATCGGTCGTGTCGAGGAGAGCACGCAAGAAAAGGAAATCCAGGTCTCTCTCTCTCTCTCTTTTTCTCTCTCAAAATGAATAGTTCGATGTTTGTCGACGAAATCCACCTTTCCACGAAGAAAACAAGTCGCCTCGATTTCGGTCGTTGCCTCTGTTCCAGAACGAGGAGAACTTTCCTTCCTCGTCATCGAAGATTCTCTTCTTTGACATTCCACATCCCTCCCTCTTGGCGTAGCTACAGGGTTTAAAATCTCAAAGGTCGATTTTATTGGGGAGGAAAAAATAAAAAAGAAGAAAGGAGAAGTAAGAAGGTAAAAGAGATACTAACGAGACTCAAAAGGAAAAAAGAGAAAGAGAAAGAAAGAAAGAGAGAAGAAGATAGAAATGGGGCGAAGATAATAAGATTTTGATTTGTATGTAATACTGAAATCATTAACAATAGATACAAACTTTTGAAGAAAAGAAGACAACTTTTTGCAGGAATATATATTTGCAAAAAGGAATGCACTCGTTTGATGAAAATTTTTCTCATTTGGTTAAAAATTTTAAATATCATCAGATTTAAAGAAAAAAAAAAAAGAAACGAAGAAAAGGATATTCTCTGTTAACAAGAGACGAAAAAAAAAAAACAACATAACAAAGAGACGAAACGAAAAAAATGAAAGAATATAAATGAAAAAATACGTTCTCTCTCTTTGTATCAATTTTTAAAATAAACACGGGGAAGAAGAGATACTGGCATAACTCTGGGTGTAAAAAAGTAGCAGGAAACGAGATGATCCGAGGTGATCCGTCCAACGGCAAACGTAAAATTGGAAAACTTTGGACGAGCTGGCAGAATTGAATGGCCGTGCGGCGTCGTTCGACTCCGTGCTTGCACCAACCTATCCTCTACCGTTGCATCCTATCTAATACCCCCCCACCTGGAAAGTAACTTGAATCTCATCAAAGTTGTGCGTGCAAACATTGACCTCTCTGTATCTCAGGTGCATCGATACCGTGGTAACTACCTCCCGCGTCTGACATACCCAAGGGATGCGAATACCCAGACAGCTCGAATAGCTTTAAGCTCGAATTTTTTCCCGTTGAGGAAGAATTTATCGAAATAGAAACTTTAAAAATAAAATTAATCTCGAGTTGGAGTTTATGAATGAGTTGCGGTCGGAGACACGGTTCACGTTCCACCCACGAACAGATTGAAGTTTGATTAGTTTGTCTAGCGTATAAATACAGTAGTGACTGAATCAACAAAATTCAAAATGTGAAACTGAATTCTACCTCAAACCAAAGTTTCTCGATGGCTTCCAATACTGATTATATTTCGAAAAATTCGATGTACCGATTACAGTATGTAAATATAAGAGAGAGAAAAAGAGAATATTTGGATATATTACCTTAAAAAACTGTGGTTGAATTGTTGACAAAATATTTCGAGAAAAGCAAAGAAGACGATATACTTCTTCCTTATCGGTCTTTTTCGATAAATGACACGTTTATTTGCATGAAAATGTTGGTAATATTTTCTTTGGTTCCTTCTACGAAGTAGATGTGTAACTCTCATCTAAATTCTAAGTAAACAACCGCTATATATCCCCGATACTTCTTCAAGATTCTTTTGGATACGTAATTTTGCGGATCGAAATGTGTATTTTTTATAGAGGAAATCTGTTCCGGCGATAAAAGAGATTTGGTTGAAAAAAAAAAGAAAGAAAGAAGCGGATGATGTTATAAGGTATATTACCAAAACGAATAAAAGGGTGGAATGGAGGTGGAATGGAGGTGGAAAAAAGCGAGACATCTTTATCTTTTCACGATATTAATGCCAACACGACATTATATACAATCTCTAGTTAAAGCAGCGTTGCGTGAGTGGAGAAGGATTAAAAACTCCAATAATAATAATTCACATAATGGATCTTAAATAAACGTTAATGAAATAACCAAGAAGTCCATAAACATAGTTCATTAAACGTATAACAGAAATTCTCCACGAGCAAAGTCAAAATAAAATTTAATTATCCTCCCACTCTCTCTTCTATCTCCCCCCTCCCCCTCCTCAAAAAAACAAAAGACTTCGCAATCACATTTCCCCTTCCAATCTCCTTCCAATATATTCAATTTCTCCATCGAACGAACACAAGTTTCAATAATATTTGATCTTTAATTTTTTCACGATTAAGATCAAAATCGAACGAAATTCACTCAAATCACTCGATAATCGAATATTTCTCCTTCCCAATCGCAGCAGAACCATCGAAAGGATAGATTTTCCGCGGTCTGCGGTGATTTTCATTCTTGATTTCCACGAGGAAAATCGTGGAACGAATCTAATTACCCAACGACTCGATAATCAATCACATTTCCAATTTATTGCCTCTTCGTCAAAGTGCAGATACGCTCGTCAAAGTAACCACCTGCCAGTTACACAGCGGCATGTACAAAATCCTAAATATCCCCCACACCTTCTCGGCAAACACTCGTAATTACCGTTCACACGCGATACAAAGCGCCTCAGTCGATGGTCCACAGGTTATATTCGGGTTGATTATATATCCTCGCATAAGATGGGAGCAGAAGCGTTGACCCCTACTACTAGCTCAGGTGCAGCATCAGGTGCTGTTGTGGTAGGGGTAGTCAGGTGCGCGCACAGGAGAGAGGGAGACGGAGACAAGCTTACGGAGAAGAGAGCGGAGGGCGGAAGGAGAGAGAGAGAGAGAGCAGCTAGCGCGGCTGCAGTCTAAAATACGCTGGGCCATTAGGTGGGGGTGTGCAGGTGGAAGAGAAGGTCGGAAGGTTACGAGAGCGCAGACGCCGACTAAAAGCATCGAGGATAGTACCCGGCACCGTAGCGGAGTACCGGACAGAGCTAGCTCGTCCGTAACGGTGTGTTCGTCTTGGCAACGGATCCGGTCTTTATCCAGAGCGCACGAGCCACGTTCACCTGCTTCGCCCCCCAAAACGGAATCGAAATCGAACGCGCAATCCTCGGCAAACGCAACAACAGTCGTTGTTACTGGTCGCGAGCGATCAACGTCAACCGGCCGAGTCGAACCACTTTTGGAGTTTGCGAGTTACCGGCTGATCAACGAGGCACCGCTTTCCCGCGCTCCCGCAACCCGATTCGATTCTCACCTGTTAACCGAGCCGTCGCGCTCCTCTTCTCTCTTCGAAGTGTTCAGGTAAGTTTCATCGTTCCACGATGTGGAAAACTTTTGGAAAACTTTTCGGGCATGATTTCTTTCGGCTATGATTGTGTTAAGCTAGGTTAACGACGACGCGCGAATTGCAATGAAATTCGAAGATTTTTGAAAGTGATACGAGAACTTGTTATATCATATTTCATTATTTTTATCTCGTATTTTCTTTTTTTTTCGATTAATTCGTAAATTTTAAACGCGATATTCTTTTTTAAGGTTTATCGATTAAGTTTATCGATCGTGTACAATGGTTCGCGTTAGTTTTGAAAAAGATATATAACGGGGAAAAGTCGGCGAATGTTCACAAGTCTCGTCACGATGTCAGAGACAATAGTCTACGGGTCCTTTTTAGTATTCCCTCCTAGTTCTTTAATTCATCACTCCGCTCGAAAGTGGTACGAAAATACATACACCCGCATAGGGAGTCAGTGAAAACACAATGTCTAGTGGCCGGCTGTTGAAAACTTCTCAAACTCCGGGCAATTACAATTGAACAACAATATTCCTTTGTGGAATATTAACCGGTAACCATTGTCTACGCCCAGGAAACTTGAATGAATCTTAAGGAAACGACTCCCATTTGAATCGCTCCACGCAGAAATACAGAAGCATAACAGTTTCTAGTAAAATAATTAATTTCCATAATACCGTGCCTAGTTATTCGATTACTTTCGCGCGAGGAGCGTTAGTTTTATACTTTGAGGTATGCCTGATGTGGATTATTAATGGTATTGCACCCGAGATGTTTTCTCGTTGCGTGTTACTCGCCGCAACCCCCGAGCGTAACTTTTCTTAATCTTCCCACGCAGACTTTCAGACGAGCACAAATTGTATTCGAGTGTGAAATTGGCTATGCATCTGAATTTCAATTACGTTTTAACGAACGATTTCTGTATTCTATCTGTCTGAGATAGAATGAGAAAGGTTAAGATGCGGTACTTCCATTGTTCCATGGTTCAAACAATTTTCGAAACAATTTCTTCTTCGTCCCCTTTCGCAGGGGACTCGTTTCGACTTCCTTCTACTTATTTCCCTGGTCGGAAAAAGAGCGTAATTGAACGACGAAGGAGAGACAGGAGACTTTTATGTAACGAGGAACGAAATTAATGTACGGCGAGACAGTCGGTAAACACCTTTCCGCTCCGCCTTAAAGTGTGTTTACAAGTATCCCAGTGGGGTAGGACGAGATATGCTAATGCGACATTATATGCTCTGTGTTATTTTAAGAATGATTCAAATTCCGTTTATCGTCCACAAGGCGATGCGAATTTTCATCTTTAATTAAACCCGTTGCACGATACCCTCCGAATAAAGGAGCAGTTGGTGTCGTTGTTGTTTAATAGCCACAATTTTCCACGTTATTACGGTATCTGGTTTTCTGGAAATTTCTTGAGGAGAATAATAACAAATCTTTAATTTTATGGTAAATAAAAGGGAAAATTAACAATCAATAAATTTCAATATTGAAATATAAATCAATAATCAATTGAATTTGATAAAATTTTGAATTCTTGAATCAAACAATGTTTATATAATTAATTAAGTGTTAAAAGTGTATTTTTTTTCAATCTTCTGAAATCTTATTTTCTCTTTCTTCGAGGATAAAAGGATATTATATACGTGCCAGTTTTTCGATACATTTCCTCGTTTATGTTTCCTCATTTCTCTCCAGCATTATCTAAACTATTCACTTTATCAGACTATTCCGTCAGGTGTCGTAAATGATGCGGTAGATTGCGCCATTTACGAAAATCCTTTCGTACTATGTACTATGTACTTCGGTATTGTCCTTGATATAGTCTTCGCAAATGGATTGGCTCGCACGCATGCTACTTTCTGCGTATCTCAGCTATCGTCGATTCGATTTCGTACAGGGGATTCATCCCTTCTTTCTTCTCGAACCAAGATATAGGAACAAGGGGATAGGGGTTTATACAACAAGCTCGATATCGAAATCCTGGCAGAAAAGATTTACACTTTCTACGTTATTTTTTCGAAAATAATTTCCTGTTTCAATTTTAATTCATCCATATTTTCATATTTGGATAATTGTAGAAAAAATTAGATATCTTTATGGGTTCATGGTTTTGTAAATTTTGTCACGAAATAATTACATTTTAGTTGATGATTCACGAGAAGTGCGCCTTATGTTGCAAAAAAAAAAACTTTCGAAATAACAAGACGTATCATGGAAACAAGTTCAATCGACTAATCTTCTGCAACTGCTCCATCTTACGATTAACTCACTATTTCTTATCGAATCTCCAAAGATGTTTTATCAACTTTTTCTCGAATATTCGAAGAGAAAGTATTTTAATTAAGAATTATATTCCAAAGAATTATATTTATTAATTTCAACCTGTTGTTTCCAAACGAAGAATTCCTCTGGGTACAAAATTGCAAGGCGAAGGAATATAAAGATCTGTTGTCTTTCTTTGTTGGAGTGCAAACGATCGTTTTAAGAGCATCATCAATGTAAATTTACGGGATAATCTTGAATTCGCGTGTGCGAAAAGGGAATTATTTGCAAAAGATATCTCCAACCGTTACGAACGAGAATGATTTTAAAATTAATAATTCAATTCAAAAGATTTATTCACGGACGATCGAACACTTTGATCGAAAACTTTAAAATTATTCTATTTTCTATTATGCTTTTCTAAATTTAAATAATGCATAGCATCATCCTTTTCTAAATTTAAATAATGATCGATTTGTGTGAAGAAATTTTGAAATTTCATCAAACTGTCCAATTCAACAAAAGCAACTATATACATATAAAAAAAAAAATAGTGGAAAATTTTCACTATCATCGTTCTATCGTTACTATCGCCGGAAACAAGTTTCTCGAGGACGACGTATAAAACAAGACACGAGATAACACGTTTCACGGGTTTCTTATTCTAATTATATTTATTCCACCACACTTCGAAGCTTTCTAACAACGTCGGCAATTAAAACTTATTTCGAAATTAAGCAATAAAAAAGAAAAAAAATCTTCCATTACCTCTGTATCCTATTCACGTTTCGTCTCGAAACCACAACATACGTCATTGTTGTTCATTTTTCCCTCGCCACAAATTAATTGATCCTCGATTTAACTCGTTCGCCCACGCCACGTATATTCCCACTCGTCAACTTTTCCTCTGGAAAACGCGGCTTGTTTCCACTCGGTTCCGCAATTGTGTATTTTCCCACAATGTAACGACGGACTGGACTGAATAACTGTAGGCCCAGCTGGGGGCGAGATGATCTCGCGTCATTTGAATTTGCGAGAGAACGCGTTGAACATGTTTTCATCGTGATTACGATTTATCATTGTTGTATCAATGGTCATCTTCATCTTTCCACTGCATAATTCGAAGGGTATAGAGTTGATAATGAATTGAACAATTTAATTTTCAGACGTACACTGTTTTAGATAAATATATTTATTTGATGGTATTATAAGTAAACATTTTTAGAAACTTAGTTTCGAAAGAAAAGTAATAATTGTAATATCTGAGAATATTTCTTTTGAATATTTCTTAATTGGTTCTTAAAGATGTTAAAAATTGGTCTGAAAGAAATTTTTCTTAATCCTTTTTATAATATTTTCAATTGTTAAAACTTGTTACTTTATGTGACAAATTTTATAAAATTTCGCAAGTAAATAGAATAATTGGTTGTCGCCGGCTTGAAATAACACAATAGATAAAATTTCCTTTATCATTTGCCTCGTTTCATTTAAAAAACCAACGATAATAATTTTAATAATTCGTTCATAAAGAGCTTAATAATAAATCGATTCCTTACAACTACAAACCAGAATTTGTCGGATTGAATCTTCGGTTACAATGCAACATTAATGCAACAACAATGCGAGATTTAACATTTCTATTCTCGATATTCAATTGTATCTATTGTAAACATACGAACAATCGTAATACGTAATCTTTTAGGATAAGCGTATTAATTGAATCCAATGACAAATTCACGGCTCTCCGTGGGACATCTGTTGCATTCGAGGCAATACACGATGCTCTATAACGATCACGGTAAATTGTAACGAGGTTTAGGTCGGGATCCGTTAATGTCATTCTATTACATATCTCATTCCAGCCAATATTACACGATGATCGTTTCGGCAAATTGCATTTCCAACAAGCCGAGGTGACAAACGATAAATGTTACATACCGTTGGTCAATTCGTATCGGACGTGCAGAATTAATGAGGGGAGGGATCCACGTAAATGTATCTCTGATTTTAATCGAAATATTTTAATATATTTATGTATAAATAAAAAATAAAAAATTTTAAATATTAACTTTCAAGGTTCGAGTTTCGACAATTTAAATTGAAAATTAATATTTTTATCACTTTTTGCTATCACTTATTCAAAACATATCTGTATATATATATATATTTATATGAAATGAAAAATAAACAAACAATAGATAGAACGTTTTGATTTTATGGTAAAATACAAACGTTCCAATTGATCCATATCTTTGCATGCCATATCATCATTAAGATCGCTATCTTTATTAATACACCGGTGAGAAACCTTTATTTAGCAAGGCTGCCATATCTTCTCAAAGGACAAATTCGTATCATCCTACGTCCATTTTTCTACCAGGGAGTCTGATCAATTATTCATTTCTCATTTTTTTAAAATAACACCGCAGGGAAAGAAGGATTTAAAATAAGATCTCAGGTGAATCACCTGCAATTTCTAAGAAAAAAAAAAAAGAAAAAAAGAAACTTCATTCTTTATTAATCCTTTTTCGAAATCTGTCATGAAATCTGATCTGTGCTTTCGCTTCGTATCGCGAGATACACGAGGGAATTTTAACAATCACAATGCCAATTCGAATAGATAGATTTAGAACGGTATTAATTGACTCGATTGTCAGTCTGGAATAACAAAGTCGATGAAACACGGCTCGTTGGAGACGCCGTCGTCGAGAAACAATCGTGAGAGCGACTCGTCGGTTGAACG